AATGCCCCCAAGACCCATTTCCGCAAGGCGCCCCAGAAGGATACCGTGGTCGACGGTATCGAAAGCCGCTGAGAGGTCCAGGAGCACCAACAGGGACACACTCCCCCTGTCTAGCTCCCGGCGCAGATCATCCACTAAGGCGACCAAGACCGTCTCAGTACCATGTCCCGGTCTGAAACCAGACTGTGCCGGATCCAGAATATCCGTGTCTCTCAAGAATACCTGGAGTTGTGAGGCCACCACGCTTTCCATGACTTTGCCCAAAAAGGGGAGATTGGAAACAGGCCGAAAGTTGTCCAATTTAGTGGGGTCCAGTGATGGCTTCTTCAACAGCGGCTTTATAATAGCCTGTTTTAGGCTCGCTGGAATCTTGCCTTCCCGAAGGGAGGCATTCACCACCACTGTTACCCACTCAGCCAAACCCCCTCTGGCCTCTCTCAGAAGCCAGGATGGGCAGGGGTCTAGGATGGACGTGGTGGGCCTCATTCCTCCAAGTATCTTGTCCACATCCTCGGGTTTCACAAACTGAAAAGAATCCAACAAAATAGGACAAGCAGGTGCTCTCGTTACATTCTCGGAGTCTGCATCCAACGTGGCGTCCAGCCCAGAACGGATCAAGGCGACTTTGTCTGCGAAGTACCGAGCAAATGCTTCACAGCGCGCGACCGAATTGTCAGGGCTCCCACCTGCAGTGGTGGAGTTAAAAGACCTCTGACAATCCGAAACAACTCCGCCGGACGGTTCTTTGCAGACGCAATAGTGGCCGCAAAGAAAGTTTTCTTTGCGGTCTTTATTGCCGCGGCATATGCCCTAAGAAAGGACACAAACCGTGCTCGGTTTGACTCGCTCGGTTCCGAACGCCACACGCTCTCTAGTTCCCTCTTCCTTCGCTTCTTAGCTGCCAGCTCCTCAGTAAACCAAGGGGCTGGTTTAGCTCGGCTACTTGAGAGGGGACGTTCCGGAGCAATCATGTCAATAGCCCTGGTCATCTCCCCATTCCAGAGAGCCACCAAGGCTTCGACATGGTCACCTACCGAGGTGGCGGGAAAATCCCCAAGAGCCGTCAGGAAACCATTCGGATCCATCAGTCTCCTGGGGCGGACCATCTTAATGGGTCCTCCACCTTTGCAGAGGTTAGGGGGCGCAGTGAGCCTAAATCTGATCAGGAAGTGGTCGGTCCATGGCAACGGAGAGATGGACAACTCCTCCACACCGCCACCCTGCTCCCATCCCTGGCAGAAAACCAAGTCCAATGTGTGTCCAGCACAGTGGGTGGGGCCAGATATTTGTTGGGACAGCCCCATGGTTGCCATGGCAGACATGAAGTCCTGAGCCGCTCCTGTGAGGGTCGTCTCGGCATGGATATTGAAGTCTCCCAGCACAAGAAGCCGTTGAGACTCCAACGCCAGGCTCGAGACCACTCCCGCTAGCTCAGGTAGGGAGACTGTAGTGCAGCGAGGTGGACGGTACACTAACAGAATCCCTATTCTGTCCCGGTCACCCACCCTCAGGTAGACGCATTCAAAATTTGTGGTCTGCGGGATGGGGCACCTGGTCAGATGGATGGAATCTCTATAGACCACTGCGACCCCGCCTCCCCGACCTCCGGATCTCGGTTGGTGCTGCACGGAGAAGCCTGGAGGACAAAGCTGGGTCAGGTTTACTCCTCCAGCTTCATCCAACCAGGTCTCCGTGATGCACGCCAGATCTGCCCGCTCATCCAGGATTAGATCCTGGATAAAGGTCGTTTTTCCGTTGACAGATCTGGCGTTCAGCAGCACCACCTTCAATCCAGAGGGCCCGCTCACCTGGTTACACCAATTTACCTTAGGAGACCGATTTGGGATTATTAATGTTGATAGGTGGTCCGAATTAGGCCGAATTCGAGGTCTCCTTTTCCCGCATCTCCTCCTTCCCACCACGACCTCTATGGGGGCCCCACGGCTAGTGGAACACCTCCTCTCCTCCATGCCGCCGTTCTTAACTAAGATCTTAATCTCTATTTCATCAGATGTTTTAACTATTTGCGTTTTATCTTGCCAGTTATTTTGGTCTCCTTTATCCCCCCTCCCCTCCCCATTGTTCTTCACAGGCTCTAACCCACTTCCTCCCCAGCTTCTTCCACCAGCCAATACCAACAGAAACAGTAAACACAGGAGGGTGGGGGGCCACATGGATGGAAACAAATACACTTCAGTAGATGGTGAATACAATAGTAAACGTTCAGTCGCACAATAGGATGGTCTCTAGAGTGCTAAAGTCTTATATGCAGCAATAATCCCGGTAGCAAAGTCCACAGCTACGAGGATGGTTCTTAAAGTGCGGGAGCCTAAAGTGCAGCGAGATATTAAAGTGCAACAAGCTGAAGACTTGGCCCTCAATGCTAATAAAGTGCGGCAGGAGGAATCGGGGGACAAAGTGCAAACAGTAGGGAATGGAGGCAGGCGCCTTAAAGTGCAATGTTAAGTTCTTATTAACACCTTAGCAGCAGTAGGAATGGAGCTATAACGTTAGATGTTAGTAATATACAATACGGTAAAATAGATGATTAACAGTTGATCCACATGTTATGATTCAGGTGTTAAACTACAGACGAATTGATGTAAGTTAGCGGATGAGGTTCCGGAGATGGTCAACACGGTAATGGCCGGCCCAGTTGGTCTCTATCCGGCTAAAATGCGCAAGCAGCCCACCGTCGATCTACACAAGAAGTGGATTACACCACTAGGTCTATACAATCGGTCAGCACATAATCAAATACGGTCTACACAGGGAGGTCTGCACACAGCTAGCCCAGATGGAAAAGCCCAGATGGTAAAAGATGGTAAGAGATGGTGAGGCCAGGGCCCGGTCCAGGCAACCCTACGGTGTTGCGGCCCGTCTGGCCGGCCCAGGTAGTAGGGGCCCGACGGCCGATACAGGCTCGGATGGTAAGGGTCCAGCTGGAGCAGTGTTCACAGCTTAGCGGCCTGCTCCATAAGGCCCAGATGGCAAGGCCTAGTTTGGACCGGCGCTCACGGCGCTCGCGTCGGCCTCGGCCTCGGTCCCAGCGGTAGGCCTCAACTAGCTCCCCCCACTCCACAGAGGGGAGAACGAGGTCCGATGGCAAGGGCAGCCAGGCCCAACCAGCCAGGCCCGGCCCAAGCGATCCCCGCAAGGGAACAGGACGGAGCGGGATGGGAGCCAGCGGCGTCGGCCCGCCTCTTCTCGGCCTCCTCTCGGCCTCCCAGCCGCCTGGCTGCCTCTCCTTCAGCCTTCAGATATCCCTTCATTTTGACATAGGTGATATTACATTATATACATATTTATATATGTGCAGTACATTGTCTGTGAATCTGGTATATTCAACAGATTGATAAGCCACGTTGGCAAGATATTGCATATTTCTGGGTACAGTACAAGTTATGAACATGTAGCTTTTCTATATAACCACTGCAACACATTTTTGATTATTTTTTCTTGCTTGAGGACATGGATCTGCAGAACTGATATACATAATTTCACTTATTCAGTTATTCACTTAGGGCCTCTTGTACAAGCTATATCCTCTACTTGGTTTCTCCATTATTCATCCTATTTGAAATAACAGGATTTGCTATTATCTGTAGATTTCACATATCCACAGGAAGTCCAGCAATGTATCCTCGGCAGGATATACCATATTTAAAAAGGGACAACTTGCTAAATCATTGTTTTCATATGGCTACTACAGCCGAGCCTGGAAAGTACCATGTGAAAATATTTAAGAGTCTCCCAAAGACATCTGTGAAATTGACATTCTCTGCATAAAGCATTGTTCTTATAGGGTTGACAAATTAGAGTGTTTGGTCTTGAGCCTCCAGGTACAACAACAAAACTTTTTTATGGTCACTGACCAGCACAAAAAGTCTCCAGGTTTTGTGGCCGTTTCTAGAAAAGAGATGAGGGTGAAAATGTTACAGTTTTGATGCATGCATCTCTGCAAAAGAGGAAAGGGGCATGTACAAATCTCCAATTTAGGAGAACAGCAGCTTGTTACAATTTGCAAGGCTCATCTGATGCGGTCCCACAACATGCAATGTATCTCCATGGGGAGCTTCCTCCCTCTTCTAATGACACCACCAGGGGCTCTTCCTAGGTCTCAGATTTTAGCTCTAAAATGTCAGGCCCTTTGATATTCCTGAACTATGAACCAACTCATGCTTAGCATATACTCTCTCTCCCCCTATTACTCTAGTTCTATCAGAAACTGATAGCAACAGTGTCCCCCCCCCCCATATTTTCCCCCATCTTTTGCCTTTTTAATGAGTTTTTTTAATAAATGGTTCCAATTCTATGGATAGTTCAATTGCATTTTAACAAAAATCTTCCCATGTTCTTCCTTGTGTCCTTGCATGTGCTTTTATATGTTTTATATTTTAATTTTTAAATCATCTTGAGGCCTTGTTTGGAAAAAAAACCCCAGGATAGATAAACAAATGGCATAACAATTGAATTTTTGCAATTTGTTAAAAAAATTAAATAGCATTGTGCCTATTTTACCACCCTATGGGTTATTTTTTTTTTTGCAGGGCTTCTCATAAGCCACATTGAACACAGGTGGCACCTTCTCCAAGGTAAATGTATAAGATTTCCATCTGGATTTCCATCACACAATACTTATATGCTCTATGGTCATTCCCATAAGTTTGACTTATGCTGAATGTTAGTGAAATCTGTACAGATCAAGTACTGTGGATTTAATAAGACTTAATACCAGATAAATGCATATTAAATTGCAGCTAAAATTCTAGTACATTGAAAACGTGTTCTTTTTGGTATTAAAAGCACAGTCACTTGCTTAAATGTGGTTGAAAATGGATACTGATAAATGCACATTTTGTAAATAATACCTATCAGGTGCTGCTAGTTACAGAAATTTTGAAAATCTGACTTTGAGAATGTATGTGATAATTACCATATTTATCCACTCACAGGGCATCTAGTTTGATTGAAATAAAATAACATGAATCAGTTCATACCTCGTTGTTCAGTCTGTTGATCTGTTGTTTTGTTTCTTCTGCTTTGATAACCAGCACAGCAGAACCAATTTCATTCTCTGTAATCACAGCAGTATATAATGGACAGTCAAGGAAATGTCTATCATGACAGCATCTCATTCACTTGACTCTGTTCATTTAAGATTAATACAGAGATTATCAAACTATATCAAAAGCAGCAACCAAAATCAAGAGAAAGAAATCAAGACTTCAACTGGAATTTTCTTAGTGAATAATAATGGTGAAAATCAGGCAACATCATTGCAGTTCACTTTTTCATTCATTATAGACATTGGAATTCAGAATACCCCCAACCCTGTAAACAGTGCAGGTCCACAACAGGGCCAATTTGCTGTTGTAGGAGAGCAAGGTAATCAGCAGGAATGCATCCAACTATTTTCCTGTAGCTGTAGGCACCACAATAGATATTTGCAGAGATGTCTTGAAGATCCTCAGAGGTCTCTGCAGATGCCACTCAAAACACATCTATCAATTCTCCTACCTTCCAGTATAATAAAAATGGCTGTGCTGTGCTGCTTACATGGTGGACTTAAGGAAGGGGGGCATTAGGCGATGTAGCTACAAAGAAATAGATATAGGATACAGATACTCCTCTCGGTGCCCTCTTGGCCATCATTTCTAGACATGGTTGGTTGGTATGCATGAATATGCATGTGTATCATATGAAATATAAGGAGCTGCATAAAATCTTGAGTGTGGGATGAAACAAATGCTTTGCATCATCTCTGGTAAAAATGGTTTCTCTCAAATGATTTTTTAAAAATGTTTAACAAGCGGCAGTGTATTTCAAGAAAAAGTCCTGTGTTATTGAATAGATTTCATTGCTTCAGTTTTCCCTGTTTCTGTTCTAATTGGTCTCACCTGGGTCTCTTACCATCCATTATTACATTTGTGGCTTTGGGCCTATGACTTACTGGGTCTCATATGAGAACACTCTCAGATAATCCTTACTTCACTATCACTCCTTTAATGAGGCATGTAGGGCACACAGGAATGGGACTTCATTAAGGAAGCAGCAGTTTTCACAAGTATCAGAATCTGTTTTTTTGGCACAGTAAATGACAGAAAAACAAGTTCAAGAAATGGGTAGTAAATCGCTCTGTTTTTCTTTTCTGTCATTCTCTTTGCAGCATGGTGCTGCACATGGTAATACAGTTGCATGGAAGGATTTTTCTCACAGTCTGTGGTCCACAAAGGGCAGCCCTCTTCAAAAAGGTGCATTATGAATCATTTGAAAGAATGCTAAATATAGCACTCACCCCTGGTGGGAGGAGATGCTCTGGAATCCTGCCTGAGTTGTTCGGAGCCAAAGTCAAACGTCTGGTTCTCTTCATTATTGTTACCATCCTCTGTGCCATCAACAATCCTGTTTTTAAAAGAAAATGCCATCTTTAAATTTCCACATAGAATCATGCTTTGTTGTAACACCATTGCATATTTTAAGAGCCACATGGTGTCCGTAATATGAATGTTATTATAATTTGAACAGAAAATATCAAGAATGCTTTTCTCCCATGGATGATCATTCTTTCACAAAGGTATAATAAAATAAAAAAACTGGCAATTTAGGTACTGATCACTCATATCGCGGTGGCTCTAGTATTTCAAGCTCTCTGCCCCAGCGCTGCAATGTTGTTTCGCCTCCGTCCCTTTCTCTTACCACTCCACGTGCCCCTGCCCCGCCCCTATGTATTTTCCCCCCGCCCCTATCCTATCTCCTGTGCTTTATTTCTTTGTTGTGGCCTGTCTCTAGGTCGAGCCTGCCTACACTGGTTTTTTGACAGTTGAGTGTCGGTCACGTCTGCGGTGTGTCATGTCAACAAGGAACCTCTGCTACTCTCGAATCCACACTCACTCACTTTTCCACTTATAAACTTCAAGGGGTTCATGACCTCTGTCGTGACACTCTAAATTGTTTACCATTTATGTATGCGTCGGTTCTCATAATAATAACAAGTTCAAATCGGGCCCGCAGCTTGCCGAGCACCCTTGACCCCCGCCCGCTTGCGGATTAACCTTGCCCTTCAACGTCTGGCCCCCAGCAAGTGCCCCTTCCCCGGTTGCAGTGCCTGAGACCTTGGGCTGAGCTTACAAGGCACTACAAGTGTAGCATATAACGATAAAACAATATCACATAAAGTTATAAAAATGACCACTATTAACACATAAAATAAAATAAAAATAATCTAAAATGCAGATCATCTGTAGTTAAAACTAGCTGACTTCAAATCACAACTGAAGTGCCAAAGTGTCAAACCTCATATGGGCCCATTACTACTCGAGGCCAAAAGTCTGCTTATAAAATTTATTTATTTATAACATATACGAAGGTGTCAAGGGTGGGGGCTAAACTAATCCCTTTTGGGAGGATATTACAGAGCCCAGTAGTCACTACACAGAAGGCCCCCTCTCTTGGCTTGAGAGAAGGGCCTCCCCTGCTGATCTCAAAGCCCGTGCTGGTTCATAGAATGAGATGTGGACTTGAAGATAGATTGGACCGAAGCATATAGGGCTTTGTAGGTAATAACCTGCACCTTGAATTAATCCTGGAAAATTGGTTTAACCCTCGGTTTGCAACCCTGCTACATTATAATACATACACTCTGCTAGCAAGCAACCACCTCTTCCTCATCTCTCATTTATTTCCCAATTTTAAAAACCCACATATTTTTATATGTAAAACAAATATTTATTCACAAAGCTGCATGTGGGTTCAGTCATTCTAAAGATGTTTTTCTGGCTCTACTTTTTAAAACAGCTGCTATATCATATCTTTAAAGATGATTGTAATTATAAAAATGACACAATATCCAATTTTCCCCTGAGATGTTTCCCTTGTGTTTGGAATTCAGCTTCCACTACATATGTCAGAACAATTTCTTTCCCTTTTATTTTGCTGTGAGACTCATAAGCCACTTTTCTAAGACCTTCTGCCCCTTTAGCTTCTGATCATGCAAATATTCAACAGTTGCAACATTCCCTGATGAGGGATAAAAGAAAATAAAAGAGTGGGGAAATAAATGTATAGTCATAACAACAGTGAACTTAGTTTCATATATGTCTATATAATTGTTAATCTTTTATTTAAAAAATTTAAAAAGATATTTTAAAAAGAAAAGAAATGGCTTCTGATATGGGTTTGAGAGTCACTCTGTTTCCTACACATGGCAAGTCTCTTTGTCTGTTTAGAGCAGGGGTCCCCAAACTTTTTAAACTGAGGGCCAGGTCACAGTCCCTCAAACTGTTGGAGGGCCAGATTATAATTTTAAAAAATGAATTCCTATGCACACTGCACATATCTTATTTGTAGTGCAAAAAACATTAAAACAATACAATAATTAAAATGAAGAACAATTTTAACAAATATAAACTTATTAGTATTTCAATGGGAAGTGTGGGCCTGCTTTTGGCTGATGAGATAGGATTATTGTTGTGTGCTTTCAAGTCATTTCAGACTTAGGTTGACCCTGAGTGAGGGCCGGGTAAATGACCCTGGAAGGCCATATCTGGCCCCCAGGCCTTAGTTTGAGGACCCCTGCTCCAGGTCCTCTTTGTATATCAGCCATGTTGGTATACTGTAAGTATATCCTAATGTCAAGGTGCCTCTGCTTGTGTAAGTCGTGGTGGATACTATCTTTACACAATAAACAAACGTTATCCTAAAAAGATTCTGGACTAGACAGCCCTATGCCTGAGAGGTAGTGTTTAGGTTATATGAAACTCACACTAAAAGTGGATGAGTTATAAGAAGTCTGGCTGTCTCACAGGATTAAATTTCTAAACTATAGTTTGCATTTTAATTAGAACTGCTTCAAATTGTAAGTCTACTCACTAGCAATATAAAAAAATGCCAGCTGTGCTAGGTGTGTTTTGAATATGCAAAAAACACTACATGTAGCATTAATGAAAACAACTAGGAACACTGAAGGCAATTTGACTTTAAATATACAGAAAATTTAACACACTACAGCCAGGAGCTTTCAGGTAATTTCTTCTCAAATCTGAAACCTTCCTTTTATATTTCCCATGATGCCTATTAGGCATGTGCGACTGAGAAAAAAAAATGTTTCAAAGGTCATTACTAAATTAGGGGGCGCTTTCATTTTTAAAGTGTTTCTAAAGTATAGTCAGTAAAACTTTTGTTACTATAATGAGAGTAATGAAATATTGTTACTTTTTTGTTATAGCAATTTTGCAAGTGGTGAAACTTCAGTGGCTTCTTTCACTCTCATTTTTACGGGTATTGGGGTGAAACTTGCTATTATTGTTAGCCCACCAAACTTCAGACCCTTTCACTTACCCACAGATTTTTGGGGAATTTTCAAAGTTTGCATAAACAACATTTTTAAAAAATAAAACTACAAGAGCCATCTCTTTGATTTTTCTATACAATGACATAACATAACAGGGGATCATTCCCCCCAACTTTCAGAGATATTCATACATCTACTGATTTTAAGGATTTTTTTCAAAGTTTTGACAGCCATCTCATTGAATGTCACTCATTTTAACCAATAGAATTTCCATTTAGGGATTTCTTCTCAGCCCAGCCCAGTCCAGAGATTTATTTACTGATATTTATTTATCAGTCAGTCCTCCTCTTTGCAGATTCTACAATTTATTGGAACTCTGGCTGGTTGCTGCCATGGAGGGACAAATCTCTCCCTATCCTGACTGGGGCTTTCTGATGCTTAGCAGAATTCTGGGAAATGTAGTTTAGGGCAGGACCTTTTGAATTCTCTGTCATAGAGCTTCTTGCCTTCCCAAATGACATTTCCCAGAATTCTGTGCTTTCTTTCCCAGCAAACTCTGCTTTCTCCCTGTTGCTTCCCTCTCCTAATGGTGAGAGGCCATTAATTTAAAGAGGAAAGGCAGCCTTTTTGGCTTTGTTTTGCTTCCTTGTGCTGACTTTGGGAGGCTTCTGAGATTTTAAAAAATGCAAATGAAAAAAGTTTGAGTAAGTTTCAATTCTTAAGTTTTTGGCATGGGCCATGCCTACGTGTCAGATATCACGTCCTAAGTATGAATTGAATGAATTTGATCCAACTTACAAGGGCTAACGAAAAAATTGCATACCTCTAATGCCTATTAGTGCAGATAACTTTTGGGTTTGCCTCTGAAAGAGACAGTAAACAATAGGCTTGGGTAACAACGGAAAAATTTGTTTCTAAACTCGTTTCATTTTTAGGGGTCCATCGCGTTTCGTTTTTTAAAAGAATTCCGAAATTTTCCTTTTAAAAATTTTGAAATTTATGAAATTTCGTATAATTACGAATCGATTCGTTAATGGCGGACGCGATTGCGCAATATGCTAAAAAAACCTCCAAATGGGACAGGGGGAACTTCTGAAGCTTCCCTCTCCCTCTGTTGTGGACTGTTGGTGTGATAAAACAAACAACAACTATAAAACTTGCACCAGACATGCGAAAATAATTACGAAATAATTACGAAATAATTACGAAAATAATTACGAAATAAATTGAAAAAATTGTTTCGAATCTAATTTACTCCTCACACTATTCCTGCATGGCTCAATATTGGATCGTAAGCTAAATTAAATACGAATTAATAACGAATTACGAAATTAACGAACGAAACCGCCCAAGCCTAGTAAACAATAATATGTTCAGTTTGGATTAAACATAAGATAAAGTCCTAGTGCAATACTGCCCTTGTGAATCCAAAATATTTGTTTCCAGAAATAAAACTGAGACGGAATTTCCACCATAAAGAAATGTGAGACAAAATACCTCAGTCTTCCTTGTCAGATCTCATATTTTCCTGTGGTCTATCCATAATTTTGGAGAATAGCTTCCCAAAGTGACTCTTGCTTTAGTCAAAGCATGGGAGATGGTTATATTACAGTTGCAATGGAAACTTAGATTTTAAAGATCACTGTATTGTGATCTTATTTTGAATTTGATGTGGTCTAGTGAAACAAATTCCAAATTCCAAAGAGGGAGGAAGGGAATTCTTGTATGTACAGGATAACTAACAAGCAAAAACTAGCCGCTATACAATAGAAGTCAAACAATTAGCATCATAGTTCACTGTTTAGATAGCTAGTCATTTTCTCAAGAGGATTTGTAAAGCACACCTCTGTTTTATTTTTCAGTAAGAAGCTCAAAAGCAAGCTTTACTGGCACTGTTGTAAACCAGTGTGTGTCCTATGCACTCTCTTTTAGAAGTGCATTGCTTGTTTGGAACTCTCACTGGCACATAGACACATCCCTTACAAATAATGCAGAAGTACTCTGATCAATTTAAAGATTTGAAGAGAGCAGGCCCATAGCCAGGATTTTGTTTCGGGAGGGGCTGAGTTTGGTTTGGGGGGGCTGAGTCTGAGTGAAAGAGGGTCTACCCTAGCAAACCTTTTGTATCGTTACCCCAATACCCCCATGCATATGGATATTGAGTATAGTGATCAGATCATGATATGAATAAACATAGCAGTTTAAATAATGCACAGTAAGGCCTTCTTGGACCACCATCAGAATTTTTGGGGGGGGTGAAGCCCCAAGCCCCCCCCGGCTACATGCCTGGAAGAGAGTATTTATGATTGTGTTTATTAGAATGTTATTCTATGACTGCTTTTTTTCTAATGTAATTTTGATGTTGTTGTTGCTGTTTGTTGTTTATGCTTTGATTTTATTGCTGTAATATGTTGTCCAGGCTTGGCCCCATGTAAGCCGCTCTGAGTCTGCACTGGGGAGATGGTGGCGGGGTATTATTATTATTATTATTATTATTATTATTATTATTATCTGCATGTACAGTTGCAACCCAATTGCATGGGATCTGTCATATATATATTCAGCCATATCTACATTTGTTAAGTCAGGCTCAGAGACAAAACCTGAGACTATTATTATTAGATTGCTGTGAGTTATTCAGACTGTATGGCCATGTTCTATACCTCATAGATACAGGTGAATACTACTGGAGCATGGCCATCCAGCCCAAAAATCTCACAGTAATCCAGTGATTCCAGTCATGAAAGCCTTTGGCATTATTATTATTATTATTATTATTATTATTATTATTATTATTTGAAACACAACAAATGAGTCCACAGCAGGCATTGGATCACACGTTGGACACTTCCTAAGTGTCTAGGACTGTGTGATGTATTGGTAAATAATGTGTGCAGATCCCAGTAAGGTGGCCTTCTGCAGCTGGCAGATGGTAATTTTGTCAGCACCGATTGTGTTTAAGTGCAGGCCAAGGTCTTTAGGCACTGCACCCAGTGTGCCGATCACCACTGGACACCTTGACTGGCTTGTGCCAGAGTCTTTGCAGTTCGATCTTTAAATCCTCATATTGTGTCAGCTTTTCCAGTTGTTCCTCTTCAATCTGGCTGTCACCGGATTGAAGACTATTATTATTATTATGAGATACCGACACATACGTAAATTGTAATAACAAAATTTATAGTGTCAGCCTTCCCAGTAGCTTCTTTTCAATCCTGCTGCCACCTGGGATTGCAACATCGACAATCCCAATAATCCCAATAATTGACAATTATTATTATTATTATTATTATTATTATTATTATTATTATTAGTATTATTATTATTGAGACAACAAGATTAGTACACAGCAAACAAGATCACTGTGCTGACTGGTCAATTGGATCACACCCTTCCCAAGTGTCTAGAAATTATTATTATTGTTATTAATAATAATTCCTTTTTCTCTTCAGAAGGAGACTCAAAGCAAATTAGTGGTGGTGACCCCTTACAATGTCACAGGAGGAAGACACTGGTGAAATTAGAAGATTGATGTTATTGGGGGTAGCCTTGGTGATGTCTTCGAGAGTAAGACAAAAACATCAGTACAACACTTTTCTCTTTAAAATTTTAGCTGCACTTCAGGGCTTTTTCTCCTTTTTTCTGACCATAGTCATTGATAGAACAGCTGAAGATTCTTCCACTACTAATATCCATGGCAAACAAGTTTCCAATGAGAACAGCTCAACCAGATATTATTTAATTATCACTCATTGTCTTAACTCAGATTCATTTGACTATTACTTCATTTATAATACATTTTACTGCTTGAGATAATAAAGGCTCTCACACTTGCAAATGTGTGGAACATTCATTTTAGATAGTGGTGAAATTACTATCTAATCTTTCTTACATTTTGAGTAAGAAGAAAGGGCACATCTTACATTCTGATTAAAGGGAATCTAGGGCCTAAATACCTGAAAACAGGCCTTCAGAACTTGTCCGTAGTAAGGGGCTGAAATTAAATAGGTTAAACCTCTTCAGGCTGCAGATAGGTTTTTAGCACCTCACTCAGGGTTTGTGAGAGGCTGTCTTTCCCTCAGAACAAAGTGGATTAACCTCAGTTTCTTTGCCTCTAATCAGTGTGGTGGCAAGTTGCAGTTCTTTTCTGATTAAAAGAAGAAGTGCCTCCACTCTTGCCTCTCCTGCTCTTCTTTTCTCTTTGCCTCTGGGTTGTGTCTGTCATCTCCTTTTCCTACGGAGGGAAAAACTGCCGATTCTACATTGTTCATTTTTCCCATTTGTGTGGGAGATACTTATCTTTGCTATGAAGATTCCCTAACAACTTCATGGTGAAGCTATGTTTCTTCCTCTGAAGTGAGGGAAATAAACAATGGGAAGTTTGTGGTTTTTCCACTTGAAGAGGAGGAGGAAACAGAGGCAACCCAGAGACAAAGAAAAAGGAAGAGTGGCAGAGGCAAGTTTCTCTCTTACAAGTAAATGGTGCAGAGTTGATGGTTTTACCACTGGATGAGGCGATGGCAGGGGCAAAGAGAAAGGAAGAACGGCTTCCTTCTCACTCTAAAATGGCCAATCTAATGTGAAATTTTAATGTGAGTGGAGCCCAAGATTTCAACCTCCCTGAATAAAGGTCTGGTACTCCTTAAAATTTCATCCCCACTACTCCAACTTGAGTCCAATAACTTCCTGAGACTGTGTTTCCAACTAAGATCAGCACTTCCAGCATCCTGACTGAATCTATTGATGGTGTCCCCTTTGCCCAGTAGTTTTCAACCTTTGGGTCCCCAGATGTTTTGGCCTTCAACTCCCAGAAATCCCAACTGCTATTAAACTGGCTGGGATTTCTGGGAGTTGTAGGCCAAAACACCTGGAGACCCACAGGTTGAAAACCATTGCCTTTGTCACTGGTTAGTTTGGTAAATTTGGTTGCATACAGAAAGAAAACATGTAGAGGCAAAACACTTGGAGGAGAGAATGGTGGGCTCCGATTGGTACTCTGCTGCAGCCCCTTATGCGACCTTTCTTTCTACAGCTTAGGCTCAGAGCCTCCGTGGGTTGCACCAAATCCTTGCATTATGCCCCTGGGCTGCATGTTGTGCAGGCCTGCCCTAAAGGAACCAAATACTGCCTGACTTTGGAAGCTAAGGAGTGTCAGCCTGGCTAGTACTTTGATGGAAGATCGACAATAAATACCAAATAATGTAGACTATATTTCAGAGGAAGTAACAGGGAAAAAAAACCACATCTGAGTCTTCTTTGTCTAAGAAAACCCTATAAAATTCATGGGTGTGCATAGGTCAGCAGGCAACTTGATGATATATACAAACGGAAACTGAAATACATGTGCTTCTTTGTTACATAAAGTGAATGCTGTATTCTTCAACTGCATTTACAGCATTACAAAACAAAGTCTCTCATCATTTTTGAATCAACCCCTACTGATGAATATCTACACACGTTTTGCTCTTGTATAGCTCTCATCAGTATATTTACTACAATGAACAGAACATAATGGAAGTCAAAGAGAAATGAAAAGTAGATTTATTGAACTATAACCTATTTTGTACAAGTCACTTAACACCCATTAAAATGATTACTTTCATTTATAACTGTCCTAAACTCAAGTCAGCAATTTGACAATAGAGATGAAAGTTTCTTTTTGTTTCTTATTGCTCAGGCAACTCATGCAGGGAGCCTCCCTGAACATAACTGATTAATTTTTTTTTGCCAAGCCATACAGACCTGAACAGAGTGCTAACTACTCTCCCATATGTCAATGGACATTATGAAAAAGATCTTCCCACCGGATTGTCTTTTAATACCTCGATGAAAGCCAATGAAGGTGAGAATATTCTGTTAGAATTTTATTGAGAAGGGAGTTGAATTTATCTTCCTGAACACCTCAATAGAATAATAATGATAAAATCTACACAAAAGTTTCACTATATTTCTTTAAGGCTTTGACAACATTAATCACGACTCTCAAATTGTCCCAATTTGGCAAGAACAGTATGGCTGTGTAGTCCTCTGCTATGCCATGTTTAACTACTTTTAAAATATCTTCTTTCATCCTCTCACTTTCCACCTTTGTCCTCCATTTACTTTAATTGCTGTAGACTCAATTTACAGTCAACAGGTTTAGGGGAGAAGCGGGATGGATGTTTGCATTTTTGAGGCAAAAGCAAACTTCTACAGCCTGACCTACATTGGTTGGTCTTCCTCATTCACAAATTGTGTCATCTTCTCACACTATGATATTTGGTGAGATATGTGTTCTTGTTTTCTCTTGTAAAATATTAGAGGGTATGGTATTACTGGTAGTTAGTATTCTGTAAATTAGTTCCCCTTTTTATTTTGCTGTCATTCAATTTGTTCACCAAAACCTGGGGAAATTTTCTAAACTGAGATACACTATAAAATAATTATTTCTGTATATTTTAGAAGGAGGATTGACATTCCAGATGGATGGGTGGAATGGACTGCCATCTAGTCTATGGCTAGGCTGGATTTCAAAGCAAAGTTGTGATTATCAAACCTTGAATTAATAAGCCAAAATATGAATACATTTCAGTCACCAAAGAAGATTGCTCTCCTTGATTGCTTTCCAAACCAGGAAAAAGTACTTCCTTTTTATCCAAACTAGGAACTACGGTTAATAGTTTTGATTCAGGATTTTTAAAATCAGCTAAAAAACTTTGACTCTATACTCTATCTTGTTGGAGACCATTAACCACAGTTTCAACCATGATTAGAACATTATGATTAACCTTTCCGACAGAAGCATTTTTGCTGGGGTCTTAGCTTTGTTTTCTGAATACAGTACTGTTTTTAAAATATTATATTTATTTCACTATACAAATAGCACTGTGAGGTAGATGCATAACTACAGTAGTTTTGACTATCACAAAACTGTATATGTATTAGAAGCAGTATCAAAAAAGAGATGGAATAATATCAAACATGTGCATACCAGATCAAAGGTGTTCCTAACATTTACCTTGGGCTGAGATCTGGAGGGCCAACACTGTTTAGTGATGAAAGGTGTAACTTCAGGTTCTTTTCTCTCCTTTTGGAGTAATAATGTAGTTCTGTTTCATGTTTGGTTCTAGAGGAGTTTGTACTGCAAACTCGGATAGGAGAGTGGAAGGGCACAGTTCCTGAGGCCAACTGTTTCAAGTTTATCCCAAGATAGCTTTTATTGCTTCCTGACTTTTTCTGTTGGGTGGAGGTTGTGCTTCTTGTGTGGACTGGAGAAAGAGTAGCTGCCTCTTCTTCTGTCACCTCTTCCTCTTCTTCCTCATCCTCCACAATGGATGGAAGTCTCTTGTTTATGCTCCCATTTCCTTTGGAGTCTGCCTAGAATAGAGGATAATTAGCATTAAAAACAAATTGAAAGTGAAGGCATTGATGTATTTTATAATGTATATAATCAATGGTCTACTAGTGTTCCAGTTGCAGGGCTTTTAAGGTTCCTGAAATTATTTAAATATAAWTTTGATTYTCCTATGCATCTGTAATACACCTCTCTCTAGAAAAATGTAGTAAGTGRAATGCAATTTTGCCACTCAGAGATGCTCCTTAGCTTTAGGTAATAAATAATTAAATGCTCTTTCATTGRTTTGYATAGTCAATGGCAATACTAGGGGCCGGGGGGGGGGGGAGGGATAMTAGAGGTGGGGACRGCACCAGGTGACACCAGTAGAGAATATGACACCAAAATGASTGTCTAAAATTTTTGAGAAGTGTTTCAGCAGAAATGAAAAAWWTTATACAAAAATACACGTAAACATTTTTGCAAGCCCACTTACAAAAATGTATGTATATTGCCTTTCTCAGCCTGCCTTGAGTCACCTGCGGGCTGAGAAAGGCGGTATACAAATATAGTAAATAAATAAATTGTATCAATAAGCCTACAAGCTTAAACGTCTATGCTAGTTTACTTTTTGAATCATCTGAAGTGTTCTAGGCAAAACTGTCATTATTGTAATCATGCTTTGAAAGTATGCATTTTCATTTGCCTTCCCTACAACCATACATTATTGTTTTTATCACTGCTTGGGTTTTTTAATGGTCACTGATTTATTTCAATTTCTGGTATTTTAATGACAAATATTGTGGTATGGGAGGAGGTCCATGAAGGTGACATCAACTCTAATGACAGCCTTGTGTCTATATGTATCCTGTGAATCTAGGTTCCAGGCTTTGGAATCCTTTGGCAAAGCTCTCAGTGATTCCCTCACTAATAAGTCTCAGTTGTGCCCTCTTCACTGTTACACATTTTCTTACATTGTCATCTTGAGCCCAGTTTACACAACCTCCCAGAAAGCATGACTGACACCTCTTCTCCTTGTTTTTCTCCCTTTTAACTTGCTTAGAAGACGTGTGCAATTGTAAACAGGAATAGGGGAAGAAAAGAAGCAGCAGAGCCAAGCGAGTGGAACCAATGTGGCTGATTGGGCTTTATAAGCTTCCCAGCAATGCTGCTCTATTTTCCAAATTAGATTATCAAAGTATAAGTTTTGCAAACTCAGTAAAATAAATTAATACTGATAATTGACAACACAAAACCAATATCCAGAAACAAGGTCAACTTCTTTCCTCTTTTAGACTAAGATTAAATAAGCCTTACATAGTTTCCTGTATTAAAGGAGGAAATAATATTGAAAAATAACACAAGTAGGGTATAAACAACAGAAAAAGAAAACATCCCAGTTTAATATTCCAGACATCTTCACATCCTGTCCTGAGAAAGGGAAGAGATTTCAGCTGGATGTTAGGAAGAACTTCTGATGGTAAAAGCTGTTTGATAGTGGATTATGTTGCCTTGGAGGATGGTGATGTCTCTTTCTTTGGAGATTTTAAAATAGAGGCCGGATGGAGTGCTTTGATGGTATATTCCTGAATGGCAGAATGAGGTTGGACCGGATGGCTCTTGTGGTCTACTTCAATTTGTGATTCCTTATGTCTGGGAACTTGGACCAAAAGCCTCAATAAGATTGTTAAGAGGCGAGAAAGCTCATCGGATAAAATACAATTTGTTGTTTATAAATTGTCTTGAAAATGCTCACAAGAAATAAGCAGGATAGAATTTTTAGAAACTGCACCTAAAAGAACAGGATATCAATGCAAAGTACAAGTAGAGAGTATTTCTCAGTTGATGATTAGAAAATAATATTTAAAATGGATTGAGCAACCCATTTATTCTTATGTAGTTCCCAGTATTGATTATTAAAGTTACATTTTTAAATTGATCAAGTAGTACTATAAAAGACTAACTGTGAACATGCACAGAATGAGTTTTCTTGACAATTGAGTAAGCATATTTTATCTCTAGATTAAAGACTTTGGGCTCATTTTCATGATCATATCCTGTGAGTTCATTCCTGGCTGTCTTCATGTCCAGTAGGGTATCATGGGATAAACTGGTTTAATCCAATTTAGCTTTGCATTAAAGAAAAATCAAGGGATGCACTGGAGTTTACCTGCAGTGTGGGCAGCAGGATTAGATCTGATTTGGACTAGTTCAGTGTCCACACAGAGTACTGCTGTCATCCCCCTTTTTCCTGTGTTCATTAATGCAGGGGGAAAAGGATAGATTGTGCCCTCATGCCCACTATTGCTGCCCCCAGTAACAGAGCTCTATGTCAGCTTCTGGCAGAAGTATTGTGCTGACATCAGTAGAGGTGCTCACACATTTAAGACCTCTAGAATTAAGCACAAGAGGCTTGGAGGAAGGCCATGTTTTGCGTTGGGTGGATGAGGAAGAGGCATTGGCCACAGCTGCCAATGCTTCTCCCTATTCCAGCCTAAATGCAAATTAAAGATACACTTTTCCCACCTCTTATGTCACTGGATGGCCACAGAGGAATTCACTATCCAAATTAAGGAATTTATCACACAAGGCAGGCAAATCATAATTACAGCAGGATAGCAGTGTTGTTCTCYAGGACATATATATGACATTGCTCCTTTCCCACTGTTCTTTCMKTTAGAAAAAGTGTGGAAAGCATTTCTTTTGCACAAGTAATCCATTMATGACTCCCTTTGGAAAAGAAATGCCTTACAGTGGTTTCYCAMTGAAAGAATGGTGARMAAGAAGTGACATCATGTGATATRTCCRAGCCAAAGATGCTGTTAACCTGCAGTAATTGCAATTTGMTTGCCTTGTGTRATAAACTTCTATATCTACCTAGRTTTTCTATATCTTCTATATCTACCTAGATCTTAGCTAGATTTTATCTGGGAATTCAACTGCTTAAGCTGCTTATATACATAAGCATAAGCCATTACAGAATTTTTTGCCCTTGCTKTGTACAAAGGGGAAMTGTGGCCTCTTCTCCATGAGTAKGGGCCAAAGCATACAAAWGACATACTCTAGACACATTATATTGCACTTAGCWATTTTTGTAAAAAAAAAAAAAAAAAAAAAAGACCTCCACCACATTTTAATAAGGTCTGGTAAATTTCTATATTCTTGTCTTCYCAATATTAAGAGGAGTTTACTTTTCCCACTGCTTTTCATTATCTATAGTATAGAATTATGAAGATTATGAAATGAATCTGTTCTTAATATAGCAAAGAAGTTTGGGGTTTTTTTAGAAATCCTGGAAAGAGCTCATATTTCAAATATGGTAGGCAAATATAATTGAAAATGATATCTAGGGGAGACTCAATAACACATAGAATCAACATGCAAACAACATAAAACTTTGACAACAGACGGATTAAGATTTGATCACATCTTAACATTTTAATATCTCAAGATGTGTCAAAACATATCAGTAGCTAAACATGCAGAGGTAGCAATGGAACATGCAAATACACAACTTTATCCATGCCAATTCAGCTGTACACCCTTAAAAAATACATTTCAGTTCCTACTGGAACTCATAAGAGGCATTTCTGTTTCAAAAGGGAATTGGATTTGGCCACTAGGTGAGGGAGGATGTTTATAGCACAGAACTAAGTTCATCATATTAAAATCAGACAACCATACCTGACAGATTCCAGACTTGTTTGATAATCTTGTGATTACCTGAAAGAACAACAAATAGAGGAAGTAGCAAATTCCAGAATCTGAAAATAGCGGCTTCCAGTAGCACGTTTAGATGGTGGGATCATGTAAAAAGGGAAATCTCACATCAAATGTTTTTCATGTCTTTCACAAAATTAGTTGACAAAATATTACAATAGAAAGTGGATGGCCAAAAATTATGTCACTAACTGGACTTCTGCATTCATCTGTGTTATCAAAGCCCTCAGTTTTTATACAGGTTAATTTCAATAAGAAGATGCACTGGGATAGTACTCCAAGAAAATACAATAAAGTAATGGAATAACAGGCTTCATACTCTGTGCATCTGATCCTTGTGGGGTATCTTGCCTAGTTTTTTAAAAAAAGATTTTGGCATAACTTGTATAGTTGTGTCCATTCACTCCTCTGTTTTCTTATTTTGTTTTCCATTAGTGAGTCACATTGCACATTATTTGGCTCCACTAACATGAAAAAAAAATACATAGTGAATTTTATATGTTGTCTTGTTTGCATCTTAATAAAAAAAATAAAAGTGTTTAGTAGTGAATCCATAGGTATTGCTGTAGGATCAAAATTGAAACTAGAGAGATTCTAGATTGTTTGGAGTTGAGATATCAGACAATGGTCCATCTTACCTTGGCACCAGCTGATCAGATGGTCCCAAACCAATATATGCAAAAACCTGGTTATCTAGATAGGAGCAAAACTAATTGATACCTATAATGATACTTTGGGGAAATGAATTTTTAAAATGCTCTCGTTGTTTTGGTTTACTTGATATATGTTTCTATTAGTTATGTTTTGCTTGTTGTTTGATCCTCTACAATAGTTTTGTGAGATTTCCAAGAAAAACTATCTGAAGTTGTACATACTTTCCCAAACAGATCTACTGAAGTTCTATGTTTTCGCCATTCATTGCTATTTCCTCTTAAATGCATTGGCTCATACCAGGAGGCTCTTTCATAGGAGAGGGCTCTTCATCTGGTGTCTTTGTTTTCTCCAGGAATTTTTTTATCATGCACCTTCCACTTAACCGGCCCTCAAGCTTCTATTCCACACATACTTAACATAAGGAATTTTGTGTAGATGTATATAGTACTCTAGGTTTCAAGTCACACCAGCAGCAATGTCTACTGCGGCTATAGTAATCTTAAAAGGTTTATTTCAATGTTTTTAATTTGATTGACAGTAGTGCACATTTTATTTCTGGTTCTCTTAGCTATATTTGTCTACTGGGAAGTAAGTCCCACAGAATTAATTAATCTGAACCCTCAAGAAAGCACACATATACCGGATGTAAGCTTTTCTTTGTCTCTACATAGGAAGTGCCATTCTATCAAAACAACATCCACCAAACTGTATCAGAATGTAAATTAATAGTAATCTTTGATACTTTATAATAATAGCTTATCAATATTAATATGTCTCTGAAAATGTCTAAATGAAGCTTAGTTAATACAAGTGAAGCATTGGGATAAAGTCTGAAAATGAACATCTTCAAAATAATATCCTAAATTAATTTGACTTTCTATGAAGGTGACATTTGTATGTGTTTTCTCCGGTTTCTTCTTTTGCCCCTGCAGACGCTCCTTTGTCTCCAAACAGACAGTAGTCACACAGACACAAAACAAGGACACAACAGACTCAGTAAACAGTAGGAGATTTAAAGAGTGAGGAATTCACATAACCATGGTTACGCCTTTTTGCCTCTGCCGCTGAGTATATTTAGTATCAGAAAAATTAATTATGAGAAAACCCAAGGAGCTGCCCTCATTTCTAATCTCCTAAAGACCTTTTCAAATGTGATGGCCATGGTAAGTTGCCATACTTTCTCCTAGGAAAGAAAGTCAATTTAAGTAAGAGGTTGGTTAAAAAAGAAATCCAAAGTCAAGCAAATATAATTTTAAATCCAAGCTTTTTCTCGCACACTAGAAAAAGAAAGATATGAAACAAATATCCTTAAAAGAAAGGTATGAGACAAAACATTCAAAAATCAAAACTAACAAACGCTCACTCTTTCTAACCAGTAATGCTTTTCATATAACTAAAATGTGCAACAACTCACCAGTGTAGAAAATTAACTCTTGAGTGTAAAACTAAGGGCTTTTACATTTACATATCAAATGTAAGCCCTTGGATTTAGTGATAGATGTATTAATGTCTCCCCTTCCTGTATGAGTCAAACGATGCTCTGCTAATTCTTTTTTTACCCCCCTTGGTGAAATGGCAATGTGAGAATGGATGAGGAAGAAGATGTGATTTAACTTAGTGATCTAGTGCTAATATGAAGGCTTTTAAAAAAAGCCAGAATGAAATGAAAGATGCACTGACTAGCAAGTGAATTCCAGAGTTTTGGCTTGTCCTCTTAAAAATAAAAGTATGGAGATGTTTTTTTGGGGGAAAATATAAAAATAAAAAAGACTTTTAAAAAGATTCAGAGCTTAACATACAACTGTAAACTGATGGAATGTCCAAAGCAAGGCAATTAGATATGCCCACAACGAACATTGCAGACCATGTCACCAAATGAAACAAAACAAACCTGTTTTTAGAACCACATTATTCGGGTTTTTAAAAAGTGACATGGAAAATGTATCAGCATTTGTAAAGGGAAACCACAAGAAATGACAAGAGGTAGCACTAAATGTTGCAGAAAGGTATGGCACAAATAATTCAAAATGAACCTTTTCTTAATGTGGTCTCAGTTTTCACTAGGTTCAACATTTCTCTAAAAGCTACCCTAGGAAAACCAACAAAATCATAACACACTATCTTACCAAAGATGAACTATGTCTTAAACAGTCTTTATTCTCCTTTACTATTTAAAAACTACGTGTGTGCGTGTGTGTGTGCGTGCGTGCGTGCGTGCGTGTGTGTGTGTATATATATATATATATATATACACACACACACACACACACACATGAGGTTCAAATACTTAAGGGAAGTAAAGCAGGGAAGTTTGGAGTATTCTGCAGTTTTGGGGTAGTCTAGACAGTTGAATTGATTCCAGTTCAGACTGATCCACTGTCCAGATGGGGCAGCACAGAAAAGGAGCTTTGTCCAGTTTCCTGGTCATTGCAGATACCCTGTTCTGATACCACCCCCTCTATTTCAGTTCACATGGCTCCTTGGCTGATGTGAGAATGGAATGCCCCAAATGGCCAGGAGTTCAGATGAGGCTACATGCCCAACTGAATGCAATGGTGGCAACATGGAATGTGAGGTAGCAATTCAGTGGGACTATGGGACTGGTCTGGCATTGGCCTGATTGACAGTGATTGCCAACATAGTATCACAGCAGGTTTAGCTGGGTACATCTGGCCTGGAGTTATGCACAGGAAGTTTGCCTTTGCCAAAGTTACCTAAGAGTTTCCATGGCTGAGTGGGATTTCAACCCTGGTCTCCTCAGAGCCCTGTCCCACCATTCAGATCACTACACCTCATGGACTCCATTCCCCTCACTTCTCACCATCCTATCGTAATTTATAGTTCTTCCCATCAATCACGCCACGTGATCTATTTCAAAGCTTAATCAAATAATTTGAGAGATTAATCTGCTAAAAAAATTGATATTTTGGATGGACACTTTTGGTTATATATGGCTTTAATTTTTTTGTATTTATGGTTATATTTCTTTGTTATATTTTTTCATGTCAGGAGTGACTTGAGAAACTGTAAATCACTTCTGGTGTGAGAGAATTAGCCGTCTGCAATGACGTTGCACAGGGGACGCCTGGATGTTTTACCATCCTGTGGGAGGCTTCTCTCATGGGAAGCTGGAGCTGACAGACAGGAACTCACCCAGCTCCCTGGATTCAAACCGTTGACTTTTTGGTCAGCAGTCCAGCCAGCACAAGGGTATAACTCTGCACCACCGGGGGCTCCTGTTATAATGAGCATATATTATATTGATTTTATTTCCCTCTTAAACTGAATATTTTGTATGCTTTTTTCCTAACTCCCTTAAGACTTGTTTGATGTTGGGGAGTGATTAATTTAATGAATGCATGGACAAGAGGATCTCCCCGCCCCTCTCAACTTGTAACACAACTTGCATATCCATGAATTATTTCAATTTGGCAGAGACAGTCCCAGTTAATTCTCTGCCATTCCACTTTTTCAACTGCTTCGAGAAAGACTGTTTAAGACATAGTTCATCTTTGGTAAGATAGTGTGTTATGATTTTTTTCTTGTCCTTAATTTGCTGCAAACTGAATATAAAATGAAAACTAATTTACACACAACTCAGAAAGAGAAGAAGAAGGAAGATAATCTTTCCCTTCCTGATAGATTCAGGGTAAAAAAACACCCTACTGCAGTCTCTCATAGCTTGTATGTTCTTCCTCATTCATAACTTTTACCCTCCTAATCACATTCTAATAGTCCTTGGTCACATGTGTCCCAATATTTATCTGTGAGATGTTGGAAGGTATGAACTAGCAGTTTATGGGATACTGAGTAAAACTTCATTAAGAATTGTGAGAGCTAGGACATACATTTTCCATTTCATTCATCGGTTAGTAAACTGGATAAAGGTACACTGCATGTCAATGGAGAACGTCTGAGTGTTCAGCTGCTTTAAGATTTACCAGGGTTATTAATACTATGGCATTAAGTAGCTGGCCTTATTCTGCATCTACAGCATTCTGATCTTTGTGTATGTCATGCAAGTAGGTTACAAAATAATAGCTTGAGGATATGAAAACTGTTCATTTCCAGAGCAGCCGGAGTTGCTGTTCCACCCTCTAGTTATTGATTGGTTGAAGGCACAGCCAAGGTACAAGGGCACAGATAGAGCTTTACATTTTGCCAGTGGTACAATAAGACCTTTTGTTCTCAGTTTTTCAATATTTTGAGATGAATGGATGCAGAGTTGTAGTTACAAGAGTGGAAGGAAATGAGAGCACTGTCTCCAAATAAGAATAACTTTGCCTATTTCTTTGCTTCTTGTGTCTAAAATGTATTTCTAAATACTCATTTGATGATTTTATGTTAGA